GCATTTTGGGAGGCCAAGGAAGGTGGATCACCTGAGGTCAGGAGTTCGAGACCAGCCTGGCCAACATGGTGAAACCCTATCTCTACTAAAAATACAAAAACTAGCTGGGTGTGGTGGGGGCACACCTGTAATCCCAGCTACTTGGGAGGCTGAGACAGGAGAATCGCTTGAACCCAGGAACGTCTTATATGCATAAGTATACTCTACTGTCTTTGTCCATACCATTGACATACAACCTCGATCGCTTATAAATAATGGGACTAAAGGTGCTCATTATTCCACAGAATACCTTAATTTCTTGGTCATCCTGGTTAAGTAATAAGATTCTATCAAAAATTGGTTTGAAGAAGCTCCTAGTGAGAAAACCAAGGACTATTTGAGCACCAAACCATTTAGTAAGAGTGGTTGACTATAACCCACCCATTGACTAAAATAGGAATCCATGACTTCATACTCATATAAATACATGAATAAATAAATAAATGAGAGAGTGGAAAATCTCTTATAGCAAAATGCTGGTAAGTATATGTAGGAGAAACAATGGAATTAGAAAATCACTGTTGGACCACTGTAGTAATAATTGTTTCTGGTAAGAATCATCATTGGATGCTAAACCTAGCACACAAAAGTTTAATGAGGAAAAAGATGTATACATAGCATTTAAATATCTCCTCATAAGAGACAAATAGTAAGTTGATAGTGTAGAAACCCGAGAGGCCCTACTTTAAACAAAGTTAACAACATTTATTGGATAAACTGATGACATGTGCATCATAAGATGATGTATTGAGATGTATTTCTGCTAAAAATGCATAACCAGAATCTAACACTGAAGAAACACCAGCAAACAAAAAATTGAGAAATAATCTGAAAAATAACTAGTCTGTACTCTTCAAAAATATTAGGATTATGAAAAGTGAAGACAGACTAAAAAATATTCTAGATTAAAGGTGACTAAACAGACACAACAAATACTAACTACAAAGTGAAATCCTAGTTTGTACCCTGGAAAAGATATTTTGCTATAAATGACATTACTGGTACAATCAGTAAAATGTGAATAGCGTCTATACGATAGTTTTGTACAGATGTCAATTTCCTGATTTTAATATTGTAATAAGATTATGTAGGGTCGGGTATGGTTGCTCACGCCTGTAATCCCAGCACTTTGGGAGGCCAAGGTGGGCAGATCATAAGGTCAGGAGATTGAGACCATCTGGCTAACATGGTGAAACCCCGTCTCTACTAAAAATACAAAAATTAGCCAGGTGTGGTGGTGGGCACCTGTAGTCCCAGCTACTCGGGAGGCTGAGGCAGGAGAATCGCTTGAACCCAGGAGGCAGAGGTTGCAGTGAGCCGAGATTGTGCCTTTGTACCCTGGGACAACAGAGCGAGACTCTGTCTTAAAAACAACAACAACAACAACAACAAAAAAGATTATGTAAACAATATGCATGCAATATATTGAGAGATAAGGGGACATAACTTCTGTAACTTTGTGTCAAATGATTAAAATAATGTATATAGAGAAGAGGAAATAATGCGAATTTTTTCACTTGATTAAAAAAATGTGAGTGAAGAATATACGGAAGTTCTTTGTACTAGTTTTGCAACTTTTCTGTAAATCTGATTTTTTTTCAAAATTTAAAATTTATTTTAAAGTGGCCTGAATGTAAATGATAGCACAATAAATTTTAAAAATCATATGCCACCTGAGCACAGTGGCTCATGCCCGTAATCCCAGCATTTCGGGAGGCAGAGGCAGACAGATCACTTGAGGCCAGGAGTTGGAGACCAGCCTGGCCAACATGGTGAAACCCTGTCTATACCAAAAATACAAGAAAATTAGCCGGGCATGGTGGCAGGTCCCTGTAATTCCAGCTACTCGGGAAGTTGAGGCAGGAGAATCGTTTGAACCAGGGAGGCAGAGGTTGCAGTGAGCCAAGATCACACCACTGCACTCCAGCCTGGACAACAGAGCAAGACTTTGTCTCAAAAAAATAATAATAATAAGTAAATAAGAATAAATAAATAAATAAATAAAGATCATATGTCAAAATTGGAAAGAAAGAAGAAAAGGAAGGGAGAAAGAAGGTGGAGTAAGAAAACTTATGTTTAAAAATAGTATTTAAAAGCCATCAATAGGAATTTCACATACAAAAGAAGCACTGATATTTGATTACATTTTTTCCATACCTGTGAGACAAATGGACCCAAATATGAAATAAAACTTCTGTATTAAAATGGTATAAATTAAGTTTGGATAGAGTATGGAATACATACTGTAGCCAATGGAATTCTTTGGTTTTATGTGTCTTTAAATAGAAAATACGAGTTTTTCATATGTATACCAGATAAAAGGTTATTACCAAAATCCCTGGCAATCAAATTAAAAAAATAAAAGAAGAAAAATCAAATCTCTCCTTCACTGTTTAAGAATATGACATTACGCCCAGGAAACATCTATAACACTTCCTTCTATCTGACTTCATCTGCTTCCATTGGCTCTATCCAATGTCGGCAATTGCCAAAGATTCTTAAAACTATTGTTTCTACAACCACATTCATTTTTTTTCAGAAGAGCATCTCATGAAGATCATGCAAATTTAACTCTTCAACAATATAGAAGAGTATATATTTAACTATATTAATATTAGTATATAAACACAGAGACATAGACAATATGAAGGAAATACAAATTATCCTGATCACCTTTAATATTCTAAAATATCAAGTTGTAGATTCTAGGGTTATCATTTGAATAGCACTTTAGACGGATTGATAGTGAATCCAATATCTACACTTAAACCCTGAAAGTCTCTTTTCCGTCTTCAGTTTTCTTTCCTATTTATTATAAATACACTTTTAAAGACATCTGTCTTTGTGTTTCTTTGCTGTCCTCCTAATTTCTATTGTCACTAACTCTAAGAAAGACAAGCTTCAAAACGTAGGAGGTTTCCTGAGTCACTGTATAAAAAGCGTGTGCCTACATATCTATCTATCTATCCACACACTACACTCACTCACATATAATAAAATCATCATGTGATTATGCACAAGTGAGAGAAATGTGAAATGGAGCTAATCTGATTTGAAAATCTCTCACTTATATTACTCCAAGCAAACTGCCTCGATAGTTTTTGAATAATACTAACAACAGCATCACAAATGAAAAACTACCATTTTTGAGCACTGCCTAGGTGCCAATCACAGTTCCGAGTATTTTACGTACAGTGTTTCACTTAATTTTAACAAAAATCTGCCACACATTCTTATCTTCATTTTAAAGACAAGGGACATAAGCAAGGTCCACACAGGTTGAATAACTTGCCCACAGTCATCAAACCTCCGTCATCAGGTCTAAAGCCTGTGCTCTTTCTACAGTTCGGGGAGAGTCAAAAGGTAGGTACAAGACTCAGAGATATTGCATAATTAATGCTTACCACAGTATCTGGCACCTAGCACATACTCTGTAACTATAAGTTACATCTTCTTCCCAATTTTTCCTTTCCAAAATGTTAAGCAGAAACAGAAATAGATGCATTTGATTTCAGAGCAATTCAAAGAGTTACTTTTTAAAATGTTTTTAACCAAAATCAAGACAGGAGAAGGGAAAAAAAAAGTTTGGCTGGGCATGATGGCTCACACCTGTAATCCCAGCACTTTGGGAGGCTGAGGTAGGCAGATCACCTGAGGTCAGGAGCTGGAGACCAGCCTACTCAATATGGAGAAACCCATCTCTACTAAAAATACAAAAAGATTAGCCAGGTATGGTGGCTGGGGTCTGTAATCCCAGCTACTTGGGAGGCTGAGGCAGGAGAATCGCTTAACCCAGGAGGCAGAGGTTGCGGTGAGATGAAATCACGCTATTGCACTCCAGCCTGGGAAACAGAGTGAGACTCTGTCTCAAAAAAAGAAAAAAGAAAAAAAATTACTATACTCAGACTGATGACCAATCAGTATCAATTTTTGGCTTCTACCAGTAAAGGGAGCACAGCATAGTAGAAACAGAATTGTTGTTCATTCTTCTATTCATCAATATAAGTGCTAATTATCTAATATATGCCAGGCACCATGCTCTGAGAGTGCAATGCTAATGAGACATAGTCTCTGTCCTTACGGAGAGGCAGAGGATCTTGGCAATTACCAGACAACTGTGCCCTATGTAAAAACTTCTATAGCAACTGTAAGGTTGCTACGTATACTAAATGTACCATTAGGCGTTCATGGACAAGTGGATGAGACTCAGTTTCCTAGTCTGTTCCTTTTAAAAGTAACAACAGTTACTTTTAATAAGCATCCTAACATATGAATTAAATAATTACACAAAATGCCTGGTATACAGCAGTTGTTTAATAAACAATAGCTAGTATAAAAGAGCCATATAATCTTTGTTGCTTTCCAATAATAATTAATCACAAATAAATTTGTGATATATCCACAAATACGTTTAACTTTCTATAAAAAATCATTCTGGAATGATACATCATTTATTACATTAGTTAAATCTTATTTACACCCATGAAACAAAATTTATCAGAAAGTCCTGAAGAGAAGACAAAAGAAGGCTTATTGTTTGCGTTGACCAATTTAGCGTCCTTATGAGGATATTTATTGACTGTGTTCTGGGCAAGGCATTAGCCTAAAATGTTGGTGATCCAAAAAGGAAGTGGGCTGCAGTGCCCACTCTCAAAAAGCTCACCATCTACAAAGTACAGACAATCATCAATAAATAAGCATAAATGCATATACTGTGAAAAGTACTTCAAGCAAAAATAATATCAGTGGGGTTTGGGTACCAAAAAAATGGGCCAATTATCCATGGAAATATCAGAAATGCTTTCAAGAAGAGGTCTCATACTAGAAAGTAAGCCCAATTTTGTCCTTACATAAATACTCATCATCAGTAATTTCCAAACTATATGGAAATATGACTAAGGTGAATAAATTACAGCATATTGTACAATTCAAATGCTAACATATGTACATTTTATATTTACCTGCACAGTTAGTTGATATTGCTTTCTGCCTAAGAAACTTCTCCACCATTTTTGAATAATTGTTACAATCCTGTTTAAATGCCTAGGATAAAAAATATGCTTATTAGTATCCTTTCATTGAAACAAGGAGGTTAGTTAAATCTTTGTTAGAATACTCTCCTATAATTCAAGAATTCAAATTCAAAAGCAAGTTTATGTGCACTTTTAAAAAGTAGAAGGTTATCTTGGGATAGACTTAATCGTTTCTAGAAGTAGAAGAAAACAGCATTGGTAACTAACCGTTATTTCTTTGGGGCTTATTATTACACAATACTTAATTCCAATTCTTCTTCAATACTTACTTTTTAAAATATTTCTGAATGTTAAGACTATAAAACAGGTCACAGTGACATGTTGAGAAATAAGCTAGGCACTATTGATGTAAATCATAATTAGCAATTAAAAATAATTCATGAGGGCCAGGCACAGTGGCTCATGCCTATAATCCCAGCACTTTGGGAGGCCAAGGCAGGTGGATCACCTGAGCTTAGGAGTTTGAGACCAGCCTGACCAATGTGGTGAAACCGCCCCCATCTCTACTAAAAACACAAAAATTAGCCAGGTGTGGTGGTGCACGCCTGTAGTCCCGGCTACTCTGGAGGCTGAGGCAGGAGAATCGCTTGAACCAGGGAGGCAGAGGTTGCAGTGAGCCGAGATCACACCACTGCACTCCAGCCTGGGCAGCGGAGCAAGACTGTCTCAAAAAAAGAGAAAGAAAGAGAGAAAGAGAGAGAGAGAGAGAAATGCATGAGGTTAAGAAATAGTTCTCCTCTTCATTCTTTTCCTGTAATCCTCAGTCTATCCAAGCCAACATCATGTTAGTCTGCTGAATTCAAAAATCCTCGATTTGCCACAATGATCCCTAGTTTATACAGTGGCCAAAAAAGAAACCTTGTCTTCCGGGCGCGGTGGCTCATGCCTGTTATCTCCACACTTTGGGAAGCTAAGGCGGGAGGATCACCTGAGGTCGGGAGTTGGAGACCAGCCTGACCAACATGGAGAAACCCTGTCTCTACTAAAAATACAAAATTAGCTGGGCATGGTGGTACATGCCCGTAATCCCAGCTACTTGGGAGGCTGAGGCAGGAGAATCACTTGAATCTGGGAGGCGGAGGTTGCGGTGAACCGAAATCATGCCATTGCACTCCAGCCTGGGCAACAACTCCATCTCAAAAAAAAAAAAAAAGAGAGAGAGAGAGGCCTTGTCTTCACAGTTTAAATTTGCATGTCTAGCTCTTACTAGACAGTATAAGGAAGTTTTATATAGGATATTTCCCAGCCTGATGAGTTATTATTGGAGTAGGCTTATTTTCCTCTATCTTATCCAGCAAAATATTTTTAAGAATTGATGGGACACTGAGGGAAAGTTTGGGCACTGAAAAAAAAAGTTAAGATAGAGTTAAGAGTTAAGATAGGGACAAATTTCCATCTCTTGTATAGTCAGAATGACATCATCCATGCATCACTTTCTTTTATCTATCAACATGGTGGAAAGGATTGAAACTGTTTTCTCTTTTTCCCCTTTCTTACCAGTCAATGAATTTATTTGCTATAAATACAAACCCAGTCATTTGTAGAGCCTTAGGAATTTGGGAAAAGGAATCTGGGAAAGTGTGTTTGTAATATTGAGAATTTTATTTATTTATTTATTTTGAGGTAGAGTTGCCCTTTGTTGCCCAGGCTGGAATGCAGTGGCACCTTCTCAGCTCACTGCAACCTTCCCCTTCTGGGTTCAAGGGATTCTCCTGCCTCAACCTCCTACGTACCTGGGATTACAGACATGCACCATCATGCCTGGCTAATTTTTGTATTTTAAGTAGAGATAGGGTTTCACCATGTTGGCCAGACTGGTCTCGAACTCCTGACCTCAAGTGATCCATCCGCCTCAGCCTCCCAAAGTGCTGGGATTACAGCAGTGCACCACTGTGCCTGGCCAATATTGAGAATTTGAAAAAGAGATACAGTCAATATAATTTAGTTTTGGTAACAAAAGATCAGAAATATTGTGTATTTCTTCTAAAAGAATACCATACAATTTATTAACTACATTATGAGTAAAATAAAAAATTATTTGAAATGAGCACTGCATGAATAAATTACATTTTCTAAGGAATATATTTTTATGATATATCTGAGGTTTCCATGACAAAACCAATGTACCTGATATATGCCCGAACTTGACATCCTCGAAACCAGCTCTGGATTTTAACTGCTGCATCATTCTCCTTTATTCTAAATGGATCTACAACACTAAAACAAAATGTTTAAAAAGCACTTCATTAGTAACCAATATAATTCTAAAGCAAGTCAACCTGTTAAACTTGATTTTTAATTTCTTCCAAAATGATAATTATAAATTCAAATGTCATTTTAAATAACATTAAAATATAAATAAATAAGGCATTTCAAAAATCATGAGCTATGTTTTGAAAATTAACCTTTCTCTGAGAAGCCATGTGCTTTCAACAGCTTTGCTTTTTTTATTTTGATAATCACCAATTTTACAACTAATTAATTTGCCAGTAATTTTTATTAGGGAGTAAGAAAGAAATGTGTTATTTTGACATTATTTTAAAAACATAATCATTTGAATTTACTGTTTAAATGCTACTACACATGTATCATGCAAGACTAAAATGCTCACATATTTCACTCATTCATCAGTTAAATGAGTTGCCTCTAAGTTAAATGACTCCATCACAGAACGCGTGTCCCATTAATAGCTGGAATTCTCAGAAAGTTAGGCAGGGGGAGGGCCATAGGGCTTATACAGAGATAAGAAATTCAAGTCAGTGATCCAGATGTGAGACATGTACAATATAGGGAGAATTCACATAAATCAGTAAGATTACATAGGGTGTAGATTAAGTGTAAAATAAACTGTAAAAAACCACACAAAAGAATATATAAATAGTTGCATTACCTGATAATGAACAAAAGGCACCGTGATAAGATTACTATATGATGCAACAAAATCTGCTGGAAATAATTAAGAGTGTAAGACCACTCTAGACAATTAGGAATAGAAGAAAGGAAAGATTCCTTATTGTTGTATATTTGTACTGCATGTAACAAATTACAGAAGAGGTTTGAGTAAGGCACACCCAGTGACTCATGCCTGTAATCCCAGCACTCTGAGAGGCCAAGGTGGGTGGATCATCTGAGGTCAGGAATTCAAGACTAGCCTGGCCAACGTGGTGAAACTCCGTTTCTACTAAAAATACAAACATTAGTCAAGTGTGGTAGCGGGTGCCTGTAATCCCAGCTCCTCGGGAGGTTGAGGCAGAAGAATCGCTTGAACCCAGGAGGCGGAGGTTGCAGTGAGCTGAGATAGCGCCATTGCACTCCAGCCTGGGCGACAGAGGGAGACTCCGTCTCAAAATACAAAATTTTTTTTTAAAAAAGAGGCTTGACTAAAGTGTATTCTGGCATCATATTATTGTCCTCCATGTGGGAAGCAGAACAGCTTAAAGTCCTTTCCTCCAGAGGACTTTCCCTGACTTCCCAGACTACAATTAGGCCTTTCCATGTTACACTCTCACAGCTCTTCATAATATGTACCACAATCATATTTAAAAATTATTTAACGATGGTCTCTTTCACTAAACTTGAAATCATCGAAGGCAGTAATCTTGTCTATTTTGTCTTATACTGTACTCCCCATGGCCTCAGGAGAGAGAAATTGGTGTATACTTCTAACACTCAACCTTTGTCTTACCAAAAATGCTACCTGAGGGAGAAACATGCCTGTTGGCATTTTCCATCCCAGTGAGAAATGCCACTCACAGGCTTCCCTCACTAGATCTACTCCCAACATTGAAACCTCTCCCTACTTTAGGATGACAGAGCTGCTGAGAGCCCATGAGTGCCCCTATCCTCTTAGTAACTTAAACCCTGGGTGATGATGGGAAAAAGGCAGACATGAAAGGAGCTGTTGAGAGAAATAGAAGGAAATAAATATGTTTTACTAAATAAAACCTTATGTGTCAGGCACTGTTCCTAACATTTTACATACCAGTGAATTAACTCATACGTAATCCTTTCAATACCTCTATGAAGAAGAGAATTATTATCCCTGTTTGACAGAAGAAGATACCACTGTGGAGAAAGCATAGTAATATGCCCAAGGTCACATCTTTAGTAAGTGTCACAGCTGGCATTTAATCCTTGGTAGTCCTTCTCTAGAGGTTGGGTTTTTGTTTGTTTTTTTGTTTTGTTTTGTTTTGTTTTTGAGATGGAGTCTCACTCTGCTGCCCAGGCTGGAGTGCAGTGGTGTTATCTCAGCTCACTGCAACCTCCACCTCCCAGGTTCAAGCGATTCTTCTGCCTCAGCCTCCGTGTAGCTGGAACTACAGGCATACGCCACCATGCTCGGTTAATTTTTGTATTTTCAGTAGAGATGGGGTTTCCCCATATTGGCCAGGCTGGTCTTGAACTCCTGACCTTGTGATCCACCCGCCTTGGCCTCCCAAAGTGCTAGGATTACAGGAGTGAGCCACCGCGCCCGGCTCAGAGGCTGGGTTTTTAACCATCACTGCTTCTAAAGTGGAAGAGAGTAAGAAATGAAAAGAGGAGAAGAAAGGGAAAGTAAAATGGAAGAAAAGGAAAATGCAAAAAAAAAATCATGTAATCAATTTCTAAATGCAGTATTGAGACTTTGTGGGAAAAGATAGCACCAATCTCCCTAAAACAATAAAATAAACTGAGAGACTAAGAATATGACATGATACCAACATCTAGAGCAACACCCCAAAATTTCAAATTGTACCAAGTGTTAGTGATAAGAACTCATATATATTGCTGCTAAGAAACAGTTTGACCTTTGAACATATACAGAATAATTTTATTTACCTAAGTAAAAACCACACAAAACTTTAGGGATGTTCATTAAGGATGTATACACATGTAGTAAAATTATAAGGAGAATGATAAAACACAAATTTCAAGACAGAAATGAAGGATGGGGAAAATGAGGAGATTAATAGTTGAAGCCAAGGCAAAAGGCCTTGGTTTTCAGAGTTTTATGCACAATATTAAGGAATTCTAGACTCGATTATCAAAATTTTGACCATGGAAACACATATCCCCAAAGTCTGATAATCTCTGTAAAGATTTACAGTAAAAGATACTAAATAACATTTAAAGAAAAAAAGAAAAAAACAAGGTCCAATCATGAGATACAAGTATAGCGTGTAGTGTCATAGAAGTTAATGGGAAGGCATCAAGATGGGAGATCATGATTAAGTAATGTTAAATACTGTGCAGAAGTCCTGAAAAACAAGGTCGTTATTCAACTGGTTGCAGGGTTAGACGAAATTTTTCATTTTTCTTTTAAAATCTTATCCTGACTAATAATAAGATGGGATAGTGGAACGAAGACACTGTCATTAATGGCCAGCATGGAAAAGATACAACACCACAATGTCCAGTAGAGCAGGCAATTCAAAGAAGATAGAGTGTGGAAAAAATAAGAATAATTTCATTCAATAAGGCTAATGGGCAATAAAATTTGTGATAATAGAATACAGCTGTTTCTTATGGTTACTTAAACCTTTTACCATTAACATTTAACACAACTATACTAGATTTGTTTATCATCTTCTTCATATAGTCCATTTAAATGACTGAAAACATTTGTTTCTCCTTTCCCACCAACAACTGAAAAATATGAATAAGGCACATAGATACATCTAATACTTCTTTTGAAGTTACTGTATTAGTTATTAATGTATTAGTGTGAACTCACTATTTATAATTGTCATTAGAAATGCAGAAGAGAAGCAATCAAATTAACTACTTCTTTTGAAGTTACTGTATTAGTTATTAATGTATTACTGTGAACTCACTATTTATAATTGTCATTAGAAATGCAGAAGAGAAGCAATCAAATTAACTATTTTGGGTTTACTTTTTTTATTTTTTATTATTATTATACTTTAAGTTCTAGGGTACATGTGCATAATGTGCAGGTTTGTTACATATGTATACTTGTGCCATGTTGCTGTGCTGCACCCATCAACTCGTCAGCACCCATCAACTCATCATTTACATCAGGTATAACTCCCAATGCAATCCCTCCCCTCTCCCCCCTCCCCATGATAGGCCCCAGTGTGTGATGTTCCCCTTCCCGAGTCCAAGTGATCTCATTGTTCAGTTCCCACCTATGAGTAAGAACATGCGGTGTTTGGTTTTCTGTTCTTGTGATAGTTTGCTAAGAATGATGGTTTCCAGCTGCATCCATGTCCCTACAAAGGACACAAACTCATCCTTTTTTATGGTTGCATAGTATTCCTTGGTGTATATGTGCCACATTTTCTTAATCCAGTCTGTCACTGATGGACATTTGGGTTGATTCCAAGTCTTTGCTATTGTGAATAGTGCTGCAATAAACATACGTGTGCATGTGTCTTTATAGCAGCATAATTTATAATCCTTTGGGTATATACCCAGTAATGGGATGGCTGGGTCATATGGTACATCTAGTTCTAGATCCTTGAGGAATCGCCATACTGTTTTCCATAATGGTTGAACTAGTTTACAATCCCACCAACAGTGTAAAAGTGTTCCTATTTCTCCACATCCTCTCCAGCACCTGTTGTTTCCTGACTTTTTAATGATCACCATTCTAACTGGTGTGAGATGGTATCTCATTGTGGTTTTGATTTGCATTTCTCTGATGGCCAGTGATGATGAGCATTTTTTCATGTGTCTGTTGGCTGTATGAATGTCTTCTTTTGAGAAATGTCTGTTCATATCCTTTGCCCACTTTTTGATGAGGTTGTTTGTTTTTTCTTGTAAATTTGTTTGAGTTCTTTGTAGGTTCTGGATATTAGCCCTTTGTCAGATGAGTAGATTGCAAAAATTTTCTGCCATTCTGTAGGTTGCCTATTCACTCTGATGGTAGTTTCTTTTGCTGTGCAGAAGCTTTTTAGTTTAATTAGATCCAATCTGTCAATTTTGGCTTTTGCTGCTGTTGCTTTTGGTGTTTTAGACATGAAGTCTTTGCTCATGCCTATGTCCTGAATGGTACTACCTAGGTTTTCCTCTAGGGTTTTTATGGTATTAGGTCTCACATTTAAGTCTCTAATCCATCTTGAATTAATTTTCGTATAAGGAGTAAGGAAAGGATCCAGTTTCAGCTTTCTACTTATGGCTAGCCAATTTTCCCAGCACCATTTATTAAATAGGGGATCCTTTCCCCATTTCTTGTTTCTCTCAGGTTTGTCAAAGATCAGATGGCTGTAGATGTG